GGAATCCCATCCGACCCCCAAGAGCCTGTAAAATGGGGGCATCATCCTGGTGTTGCTGGCTCAGCTACTGACACCCGAGCATGCCCAGGGCACCCCAGGCGTGAGCCTGCTCGCACCCCCAGGCCCTCCCCTTTCACAGAAACCTTTCCCGAGCCTGTTCAGTCCTCTCTTCCTTGTGGGGGTCACAGGAGCTCAGGAAATTCACCACTTGCTGGATAAGGCATAATTTTCATGTTATTAAACCCAAAACATTCTTTTGTTTTGAGGCAGTCTGGGACTCAGAGTCCCAGGCTGCCTCTCCAGGTGCTCCCTGGCCTGCTCTCAGTGGCCACATTCCCCTACAAAGACCCTCATTTTGTGGTTTTTTTTTTTTTTTTTTTTTTTGAGACAGTCTTGCTCTGTTGCCCAGGCTGGAGTGCAGTGGCACGATCTTGGCTCACTGTAACCTCTGCCTCCGGGGTTCAAGCAATTCTCCTGCCTCAGCACCCCAAGCAGCTAGAATTATAGGCGTGCACCACCATGTCCAACTACATTTTGTACTTTCAGTAGAGATAGGTTTTCACTATGTTGGCCAGGCTGGTTTTGAACTCCTGGCCTCACGTGATCCGCCTGTGTCGGCCTCCCAAAGTGCCGGGATTACAGGCGCGAGCCACCGCGCCAGGTCCTCGGACCCTCGCTTTGAAGCAGCTGTTGTCTTGGTTTCCAGGGTGTCAGCAGTCCTCTGCCTGGAGCAGCTTCACTGCGATCGATCGACCACGTGGTCACACGGCCTCACAAGGCCATCTTCTTACGAGTACACCAGGCCCTGGATTTAGGGTCCTCACCTGGGGCAACTGCATTTTATGTAACTAATGACATCCATGAATACCTCATTTCCAAACAAAGTCATATTCTTTTTTTTTTTTTTTAATTGAGATGGGGTCTTACTCTGTCACCCAGGCTGGAGTGCAGGAGTACAATCTTGGCTCACTGCAGCCTCCGCCCCCCACCCCCACCCAGGCTCAAATGAACCTCCTACCTCAGCCTCCTGAGTAGCTGGGACTACAGGCACGTGCCACCATGCCTGGCTACTTTTTTTTTTTGAAATGGAATTTTCGCTCTTGTTGCCCGGGCTGCAGTACAATGGCACGATCTCGGCTCACTGCAACCTTCGCCTCACAGGTTCAAGTGATTCTCCTGCCTCAGCCTCCCTAGTAGCTGGGATTACAGGCATGTGCCACTACACCAGGCTAATTTTTTGTATTTTTAGTAGAGATGGGGTTTCTCCATGTTGGTCAGGCTGGTCTCGAACTCCCGACCTCAGATGATCCACCCACCTCGGCCTCCCAAAGTGCTGGGATTACAGGTGTAAGCCACCACGCCCAGCCTCATGCCTGGCTACTTTTTTGTATTTTCAGTGTAGACAGGGTTTCACCATGTTGCCCAGGCTGGTCTCGAACTCCTGAGCTCAAGCAATCCACCCATCTTGGCCTCCCAAAGTCCTGGGATTACAGGCATGAGCCACTGCACCTGGCCTAATAAAGTCACATTCTGAAGTGCAGGGTGGACGTGAGTTTTTGCAGGACATCAATGAATTTGGGGGGACACCCGTCCAGGCCTAGGGTGGACGTTTTTGCAGGACATCACTGAACTTGGTGGGGGACACCCATCCAGGCTTAGTGTCCTCAACAGTGCAGCCCTTTATAATCACAGCCTGAATTGTACACTTTGAATGGCTGAGTCATGTGGAATGAACCGTTATCTCAATAAAGCTGTTACCAGTAAAAACAGAAATAAAAGCCAGGTGTGGTGGCTCACGCCTGTAATTTCAGCACTTTGCGAGGCTGAGGAGGATCACTTGAGCCCAGGAGTTTGCGACCAGCCTGGGCAACATGGCAAGACCTCATCTCTACAAAAAAATTGTTTGATTAGCCGGATGTGGTGGTGCGCCTGTGGTCACAACTACTCGGGAGCTTGAGGTGGGAGGATTGCTTGAGGCCAACTGGTTGAAAAGAGGTTGCTGTGAGCTGAGATCACACCACTGCACTCCAGCCTGGGCAACAGAGTGAGAACCTGTCTAAAAAAAAAAACAGTAAAGAAAGATAAGTCTGGCCGGGCGCGGTGGCTCACGCCTGTAATCCCAGCACTTTGAGGGGCTGAGGCGGGCGGACCATGAGGTCAGGAGATCCAGACCATCCTGGCTAACATGGTGAAACCCCGTCTCTACTAAAAAATACAAAAAAGTAGCTGGGCGAGGGGGCGGGTGCCTGTAGTCCCAGCGACTCGGGAGGCTGAGGCAGGAGAATGGCGTGAACCCAGGAGGCGGAGCTTGCAGTGAGCTGAGATCTGGCCACTGCACTCCAGCCTGGGCGACAGAGCAAGACTCCGTCTCAAAAAAAAAGAAAGAAAGGTAAGTCCGTCTTCCCTCTCCTCTCTGGGCTCTCTGGCAGGGGCATGGGCTTGGTGGGAACTGGCATGGATGGGGGCATGAGAAGGGCAGTGTGCAGGAGTCCAGGCTGGCCTCGTGGAGGTGAAGGCTCTTTCAGGGACAGCCTGAGTCTGCACGTTGTGGGGGTATCTCCTCAATGCAGTAATTCAGGCAGAATTCCAGCTGGGGTGAGGTGCCTGTAATACCAGAGGCCTCCAGAAAGTGCAGCCTCCCTGATGCTGGCCAGGCCCGGCCTGATCCCCACAAGTGTCTTGGAAAGGTCCTACCAGGGTGGAGGACAGGGGAGGCAGCACACCCTGAAGGTGAGTCCATCCCAGCGAGTGTGTGACAGGTGTTTACTGGCACCAAAGGAGGACCCCGAGCCCCAGGGAGGAGTCAACAGCCACGCTCTGCCAGTGGTGTCCCGAGAAGCCCCACGAGCCTAACAGGCCATTGGGTCCCTTCTCTCACTTCCCGGCTCCCCTCCCTCTGCCATCCTCACCCCCACGCCACTGGAGCACAGCCCCTCTATCCTAGGAACCCAGATGTGAAGCCCTAAGCCAGCGTGGCCTCAAGGGCAGGTCCTGGACTTGGGGCTGGCCTTTCCCACCCACTGGGGAAAGAAGCCCCAGCTGGAGTCCTCACAGTGGCTGAGGCTTCAGGGCCAAGCATGTTGCCTGCTGGATATTTGGCTCAGACCCTTGGAGCGGGAGGTGACTGAGCCAGCAGGTGCCCCAGCCCTGGACACGCTCCAGCTTGGAGGCTAACCCACCATGTTGGCATCTGATGAACCCCAGTTCCAGGAAGGCCTCTAAGATTTTCGGCTCATCTATTGTTCCTTGTGTAAGAGCAGGTACTTACCCTAAATCCTGCCCTTAGAGCAAATGACTGGGATGCTTATCTGCTTCAGTTGTCCAGCACATCCCTGCTGAACCACACAGACCACTCCCCTGAGGTACATAAGCCCTGGGCTTGGCGGTGACGCATGGGTCCCAGACACAGACATGGCTTCTGTTCCTAAGTCCCTATTACATGTTTCTTTTTGAGAAACTGTCTTTCTGAGAAACTGGATTGGGCAGCTTCTTCTTCTTCTTTTTTTTTTTTTTTTTTTTTTTTTTTGAGATGGAGACTTTGCTCTGTCTCCCAGACTGGAGTGCAGTGGTGCGATTTCGGCTCACTGCAACCTCCGCCTCCCGGGCTCAAGTGATTCTCCTGCCTCAGCCTCCCAAACAGCAGGGATTACAGGTGCCCGCCACCACGCCCAGCTATTTTTGTATTTTTAGTAGAGATGGGTTTTCACCATGTTGGCCAGGCTGGTCTTGAACTCTTGACCTCATGATCCGCCCGTCTCAGCCTCCCAAAGTGCTGGGATTACAGGGGTGAGTCACCGCGCCCGGCCAAGGGCAGCTTTCTTTGGCCTCTCTGCCTCCTTGGACTTCGGGATAGGTCTGCATAGGTGCCCCCCACTGCAGAATACACTCCATTCTAGACGTGGTAGGCTGAATTATAGCCCTCAAAGAGGTCCACATCTTCATCCTCAGACCCTGTGAATTTGTGACCTTATCTGGCAAAGGGTACTTAAAGGTGGGATTACATTAAAGATCTTGAAATGAAAGATGACCCTAAATTATCTAGGTGGGTCCAAAGTCACACAGGGTCCTTCTAAGAGAAAGGGAGGAGGTCAGAGTAAGCAAGAGGTGGAAAGATGTGGCACTACTGGCTTTGTTGATGGAAGGGGCCATGAGCAAGGGGATGTAGGCGCCCTCCAGACACTAGAAAAGGCAGGAAAAGGATTCAGCCCCTCCAAGCCCCCAGGAGTAACCAGCCCTGCTGACTGTTTTTAGACTCTTCTGGCCTCTGCAACTGTAAGATAACAAATGTGTTCCTTTAAGCCATTCAGCTTGTGGAAATTTGTCACAGTAGCCTTAGGACACTTTCATGCCAAGCAGGATTAGGCCTGTAGGCCCAGAGTAGCCACCACAGGGGACGGGAGCAGTGCAGGCAGCAGTGTCCCAGACAAGGAGCGAATCAAGTAAACGAGGCAGCAGACACCCTGCCCCGGCCGCCCCGTGCCCTCCCCTGCACGCTCTGTGGTCTGGGGTCTGTGGCTCCTGGTGTCCTCCACAGGGAGGGGCGTCCAGAGGGGAGCCTCGTGGGGAGGGGCTGGTTCTGCAGCCCCCGGTTCCGCCTTCTCCTTGTTCTTGGGACACAGCAACCAGCCTGGCATTGCTGGAGATTAGTTTGCGGGTTTATTGCACAGGTGCACATGAGTCAGGGGAACACGAGATTGGCCAAGCCAGAGGCCCTGCAATGTCACCACCCAGGTGTGAAGGAGCCAGGTGGAACCCAGAGGGAGCAGACGCTCAACACCTGGAGCTGGGCCTCAGAATCGCGCAGGGAGGGCAGGGAAGGGAGCCCCGGCCTCCTATCCCCGAGGGCTCTGCCCTGGGAAGTCCTGCAGGAAGCCCATGCCGGGACACCCAGGCTAGCCCCCCAGGCAGAGAACAGAGCACAGGACAAGAGGGGGCCTGGGCCCGGCAGGCAGGGGCAAGGCATGCTCTTTCCTCCAACGGGGAGGTTTTTAGGGAGTCGGCTGCCACCATTTCCAGCAGCAACCCCTAGCGTGGCTGGCGGGGTACTGGGTGTTCAGCCAATCACAGGTAGGGAGCTCCTGGGATGGGGGGGAACCATCACGCCTCAACAGGACCAGCACGAAACAGACGCAGCCTACACAGTACTGTGGGAACCAAGGCTCACAAACATCCGCAGGACACACGCAGGGCCGGCCTCTCCGGCAAACAAAGTCACCCCGAACCTCGCGGGGGCCGCACTCCCTCGGCAGGCGGACCACGGAGGCGACAGGTGCTGACACCTCCGAAGAGCTGAGCTCCATTCCAGGGAGGGGCCAGGCCACGCCGCAGTCCTCCTGTTGGTCCTTTCGAGGGAGGGACCGGGCTGCGCCACAGTCCTCCCGTTGGTCCAATTCTGCAATCACTAGATGAAGCTCCGGCTAAACTTCTGAATCAGGAATGATGCAGCCATGAAGTTAAAGGCATCCAGAAGGTCACCACACACCTCACCCCCTTCAGGGGCCTGCGCGGAGCCAGCCGAGGACTCAGGTCCATTCCCCAGAATGTCAGCACCTCTGCCTCCCGTCACCAAGAAGGGGCTTCAGATACCTCATGGGGACCTACAATGGCTTGAGCTTGACACAGGTCCTCCGAGCTGCTTGACACGCTTTGGGACGCACTGGAAGGGTCTGCCAGGCCTGCTGAGGCCTCTTTCTGTCCCACCAGCTCTGCACCCACCCTCCTCCTGCTAGGGGCTGGGTCTTGGGTTAGAGAGTCACTTGAGGGCAGCCGGGCGCGGTGGCTCAAGCCTGTAATCCCAGCACTTTGGGAGGCCGAGACGGGCGGATCACGAGGTCAGGAGATGGAGACCATCCTGGCTAACACGGTGAAACCCCGTCTCTATTAAAAATACAAAAAATTAGCCGGGCGTGGTGGCGGGCACCTGTAGTCCCAGCTACTCAGGAGGCTGAGGCAGGAGAATGGTGTGAACCCAGGAGCTTGCAGGGAGCCAAGATTGCGCCACTGCACTCCAGCCTGGGCGACAGAACTAGACTCCGTCACAAAAAAGAAAAAAAAAAAGAAAGTCACTTGAGGGCTTCAGAAGCTGCTGACCCAGCCTGCAGCTCAAAATGAGGACAAAGGTGCTTTCATCCACCTTCACGGAGACGCTGCCTTCGCAGGCCGGTGGGCGAGGCGAGGCCCATGTTTTACTTAGGACAGGTTTCCGAGGCAGTACCCAGGCCGTGTGGGGGCTCCCCAAACACAGGCTTAGGATGGCATTCTCCCCTCTCCGTTCCCACCCACCTATCTGCCAGACACTGGGCTTGCCCTTGCTGTCCATCCCAGCACTGATGGACAGGACAGAGATGCGTGGGGTCAGTGGCCCTGTGGCACTGGAAGGCACATCTCACCAGAAATGGGCTTCCTGTTGCATAAAGACCAGAAATGGCCTTGCAGTGAACTGGTGGATGGGAAGAAAGGAGAGGCTGGCATTTGCGGGTGCTGTTCCCACCACAGCCCTGAAGCTGGGGGGCCCCCAACAAGGCTTGTCCCAGGCAGGGGGTCAGGGATGGAAGGGGACATCTCTTGCTCTGGGACAGGGTCCTGCTTGGCTCAGACAGTGGGAAAACTTTAAAACACCTGTTTATTCTGCCAGAATTGAAAGAAAAATTCCAGGAAGAACTTTTTATTAATATAAAGTTTTAAGATATTGACCAGTCAGATCTAAATTACTCATTAAACGCTGTTTTAAACAAATGAACACACTGTGTTACAATGAAAGGCAGGAAAGTGGTTTTAGACGCAGATCGAAAACCAGTGTCTTCACGCACTGAGAACAGGAAACATCCTGCTCTGAGAACGAAGTGCAGAGTCGACAGGAGACACACACGCGACAGAAAGCCCCCAGCGGGAGTGACCGTGCACCCTGGCGGGTCGTGGGATGCCCGGGCAGTGGCTTGGACACAGCTGCCACGCTACGATGCCTGCTGGGCCCTGCAGGGACAGGGGACACACACAGAGCCCAGTCACACACTGCTGAGCATGGCACAGGCCACACACACCGGCTCCTCCCACCTAACAGAGAGGAGTCGCACATTGAAAAAAGTCCCCTAGAAGGATGGCTCATGTCCATCCTACCGGGGGGATGGACGCAGGGACCCGGCCCTGGCTCTGGCCTGGTGGCAACCCCTGCTGGTGGAGGCAGGAGGTACGCAGCTGGAGTCAGAAACTGAGGTGCTGTCTATAAAAATTCCAAGATTCTGCTGGGTGCGGTGGCTCACGCCTGTAATCCCAGCACTTTGGGAGGCCGAGTTGGGTGGATCACCTGAGGTCAGGAGTTCGAGACCAGCTTGGCCAACATGGTGAAACCCCGTCTCTACTAAAAATACAAAAATCAGTTAAGCGTGGTGGCGTGCGCCTGTAATCCCAGCTACTCGCGAGGCTGGGGCAGGAGAATCACTTGAACCCGCGAGGCGGAGGTTGCAGTGAGCCAAGATCGCACCATTGTACTTCAGCCTGGGTGTTAGAGCAAGACTCCATCTCAAAAAAAAAAATCCAAGATTCCCACCTCCTTCCGCCTGAGATGGCCAGCACCTGCACCTGCCAGGCAGGAACACAGGACAGGCCCAGCTCTGCCCACGGCTACAGGGCCACAGAGGCTCAGGCCTCCCCTGTGCAGGGAGTCCGGAGGGGGAGTGGCGTCCACCCAGACCCACCAGGCCAAGCTCCAGTCTTCCCTGGCTTAGGGCTGACAGACTTCCGGGCAGTGGACCTGGCCTCCCAGAACCACCCTACCCAGGGCCTGGGGTCCTTCTGGGCTCCCCGTCGGCCCTGGTCATCGGCATCCGTTTGAGCGCTCGGTGGATGGACACGGGAGCCGGCTCTCCAGGGAGTCTCAGTGGAAGCCGCTGGCCTGGCAGCCAGAGGCGGTGTGGAAGGAAAAGGCTCAGCAGGCACATCCCTCTGGTGGCAGAGTGGTGTTGGGGGCCACGCAGCTCTCCCCTGGACTCAGAAAGCCAGGTTCAAAGTTCTCGTTTCCCTGTCTGCACGTAACATGCTCTGCTCACTCACAAACTCCAGTTCCCCTGCTCTGGGCCCAGGCAGGCAATCCACAGGGAGCGGTGTGTGAAGCAGGCCCATGAGACCAGGCGGGCGGCAGGGGAGAGACGGACAGATTCCTGGCTACCCGGGCAGCACAGTACAGTGCGGCCACACGGTAGGGGCACCTCCGATCTGCATAAACATGGACCCTGCTGCCCCGACACAGGTGGCCCCATCAGAAGGCAGGAAAGACAAGGAGAAGAGCTCCAGTCACCAGAACACTCTCAACCTCCTCTTTTCACACAGTTAAACTAAAGAGAGAACGAGGCTGAAGCCAGGGCAGGTGGATGGGCAGGGCGGGGAGCTGCTCGGGGCCCAGCAATCTGAGAGCCATCTATACCACCTTCCCTGGCCGGCGCCCTCCCAGGGCCTTGTACCCTGCACCCTACTGTGGGCTCTGCCTTCTCTGACACCAGGCATGACAGAGGCCTGAGCGCAACCACATCGTTTTTACTTTCTTACCTCGGGTGGCAGTGAGGACTGTTACCCCAGGAGCTTGGCCTCCCACCTGGTGCAGGCAACTCTCTTGCCTGGTGACCTCAAGATGGAGACGTCCCTCACCTACTCATCAGCACGGCTAAGCCAAGCCGGCCTCCGTCCACGTAAGACCAAACGTTTCAAAACTGGCTCTAACGAGCTTAAGAACAGGACAAGAAACGAAGCATCACGCTGTACCTGTTTACGTGTATTGAAAAAATAGCAGATGCACATAATAACCTCGGCAGGACCAGACAACCATTTAAAATAGATTTTAAAAAGGATCCTATCGTGGAATTCATCCTTATGGTCTACAAGGAGAACTTTGAAAAATTGGATTAAGAAAGTATTAAAATTCTGTACCCTGACAATAAGCAGGCAATGTTGGACCAATACAGCTCTCACCTTAAAGTAAATTCTTCCCATTATTTTCCACGTTATTAACTATGGAAAGTGAAAACAAAGATCAATTCTAATTTGGATCCAAGCCATATGGAAACCCACTGCCAATGCCCATGGTTACCTTCCTGGATGGGAAACTGAAACTCAGGACCACCGGGGGCCTCTGCCCAAGTCATGAGAGACGAACATGCCCGGATGGAAATGGGCCGTGGGCAAGGCAGGCAACAGCAGCTCTGTGGTGACAGCAGGCAGTCTGGGGAGAGGATGCCGGACACTTTTCCCATAGAGGCTGACAATTTCCACAAAAGCCCTGCACCCGCAAAGCCACCGTCTGCTCTCAGAAACCCCTGATTTCTTTCTCCTTAGTCACTGCCCAGGCCTCTCCTGGCTCGGCCAACACAGCCAAAGAAAACAGAGGACAAGTTTCGGATTGCGCCAGAGAGCTCAGGATTTACAGGAGGCACCTGCAGGGACAGCCATTCTCCTAATTCTTGCTTAATATAGGGAAGTCCAAGAACTAAAGCTGATGTGGGGACTCAGCCTCTGAAACGAGCTTCAAAGAACCAAGAATCAAAGCTTGCTCGCCAGGGCACACCGCCCGTAACACCCACTGCACGGGCAGAAGGGGCCTGACACTGCGTTCTCATGCTGGGTTTTCACCAGCTCACAGAAGAGGCATTCAGGTTCTCTCCCCCGTGCTGTATGTGCTCTTGGTGTTTAAAAAAAGAAAAGAAAAAGAAATGCTTTCCTGGTGGCTGGCAATGTGGCACACACCGTGGTCTCCACTTGGCAGTGAGAGTATTTCCAGCTGAAGGCCCTACGGAGGCCCAGGTGGCTCTGGCGGACCCCTGCACTCACACAGCGGGAGGCCGCCTCCCCGCCAGGCTCCGGCCACAGCCTTCCTCCTTCCTGCTGGTGAGGCAGCGCCCTGCAGGGACCAGTGGCCCTGGGCTGCAAGGGGTCTGCCACCCGTGTCCTCGAAGCCAGGAAACATGGCTGGGAAACCTGTGTCTGACTCACTGGTTGAGGTGAGGGAGCCGGGCGCCCTGACGTACGCTCATGAAGACATTCAGAACGAACAGAGTGGGGAAGAGTGGGGACGGGGGTTGGGGGTTCCATATAAACCTGCCTCTTTTCACCTTAGGGCATTTTTCAACAAAGAACGCACTCCTGGCAAGCGAGTCTTTCTAGAAGACACTGGAATGGTCTCACAGGAGGGTGTGGGCTTTGGGAGGGGCCCGTCTGTGGGAAAGGTTGTGGGGTGGGGGTACCCCTTGGAGAGTCTGCTTCCTAGGGGCCCCATGGGCCCCCACTTCCTGCATCTCCCTATTTCTCTCCAGCTGTGGGTTCCTCGGAGACACAAACCTCTGCATGCCCCAGAGGTGGGGTGCAGGGCTATGGGGGTGTGGTTGAAATCAAGGCAGGCCAGAGATAGGCACTGCTGCCTATAGCTATACCTGGAGGGACCCCAAACTCTGGGCAAAGTGGGGCCAGGGAAGTCACTGCTGAGCAGAGGATGACGGAACTTGTCAGAGCTGGTGCTGTAGCCTCTGCCACCACCCCAGCCTGCCCAAGGGCCTGGGAACTGCCGTGCCAGTAGGGGCAGGGAGTGGGCACCCTTCTGTCCTGTCTACAAACGCTGTGGCTTGATGTGCTGTCACGGGCAGCACGTGGCAAATGTGCAGTGCTCAGTCTGCTGCAGCATAGATGAGGGGAGCTTCCACAAGGAACCTGACGGGGTGGCTCTCTGGAGCTTCAGAGCTGCTCTCGGCCCAGCACGGACCTTACTGCATTAGCATCTTCCTCATGTCGTGCAGCAGATTCCTGGAAGACGGCCACGGGCTACAGGAGGTCCTGCGGATACCTGAGAGGTCTGCGGACCGTTGAATTTGCTGGGGTCTGGGAAAGTCCCTGTCGCTGCCCTGTGTGCGTTCGAGCAAGCTCACATCAACCCTTCCATACGGTGAAACAACAGCCTAAGATCTGAAATCCCCAGGGACTACACGAGCAGCCAAGTAAGAAACAAAAGTTCAAGTGCAGGAACAAAGAGGCTATGATCAGAATGACAGTCAAGATATCGGGCAGAATTCTTTCTGACCCCAACAGTTACCACCCAACTCCTTCTCAGAGATGCAAAGACAGAGGCCACCCAGGCCCAGTCCACGTGTGACATGGCCCCGGTGTGGTAGCGGCAGCCAGGGCCCACTCGAGGCTCCAGGCGCAGCGGGCTCGGCCTCACCCACTCACCCTCCCACATGGAACACCTCTGAGTCGGCAAACAGGGGCCTGTCTTCCCGGAGGCCCAGGAGCCTTGTGGGGAAGAGAGCTGGGTTTTCAGATCACAAACTTCTGTGACCGCTTTGTTATGTTCACAAAGCACGACTGGCACATTTCACAATGAAGACCAGCAGATGCCGGACACTCATGAAAGAAAAAAATATCAAGTTTCGGTCATGGCTCTAAGGCAGACGTTACATGTTTTCACAGGGACAAACATGGAGACACCAACGCGCTGTGCGTCACGGGTGAGCGGCGCGGCCCTCACAGCACCGTGGCCTGGACGACGATCTCCGGGTCCTCGATATCCCTTTTGCTCTGCACCATCCGCAGCTCCAGCTGCATGGGGCTGGGCTTCACTCCTTCCCCGGCCTGGGCTGCGGGGCAGGCAGAGTTCCCATCTCAGAGGGGCTCCCACTGCTGCCTGCTGCCCCCACTCTCAAAGGCGACACCAGCAGGAGACACCAGTCACACCTTCGAAACCAGCACGTGCCGGCTCTTCTCTCCCACCCACTTCAGGACCCCATGCAGCCCACACAGCCCACACAGGAGCCCACGCAGCCCACGCAGCCCACACAGCCTGGCCGCCGTACCTTTTGCACACTGGATGGTCCTCTGCAGAACGTGGTGCAAGGCAGACACGGTCTTCTCACAGGCCACCTGCAGGGACGACAGACTTGCTGTGCCCCAGCCCACGCACGACACCCGACGTGCCCATTGCTGCCGGGAGGGGATTTCCAGTGAACACAAAGGCCGTCCTGCTCTCCGAGCCACCGGGGAGCCAGCTCTGCCAGCACACGTGCTGAGTCCTGGAGGACAGGCCACGGACTGTCCACCACGGAGAGCCTGGAGGGCTGAGCGGATGCCTGGTCCTAGTCACCAGCTCTGGACAAGAGATGGCTCACAGAAGGGACAGCCTCGTGACCTGCATAGAACCTGGCAGGCAGCAGGAGCTTGGTAAGAGTGCCCAGAATTAACTCCTTATAACAAGTCTACAGGGGGAAGCGCTCCTGCTGGAAGCCTGGCCAGTCATCACTCGGTGATGCCTCAGAGTCAAAGGTGCTGGGGAAGCATGGCGAACTCGCTCCCTGACTCCACAAGCCTGGGCTGGCCAAACCCAGAATGTGACCTTGGGTGGCTCAGCAGCGAGGCCTCCTCAGGGCACCAGCTGGCAGGTTTCCGCTGCTCTGCGCCACCAATTAAACACGGCAGGCCTACTTAATGGCCCTGTTTAATTGCCCTTGAGGGGCCAGAAGGGACGGAATGAAGGGGCTGTGTATTCCAGTTCAGAGTGTGCAGAGGGCTAGTCCCATGGGAGGCGAAGGGCCTCAGTCCACCTCTTCCATTTTACACACCAGGACACTCAGCTGAAACTGACTTGTTGGGGAGGAGGTGTACCCTGGGGGACACGTGGCCCCTTGAGGGGCCCAGCAAACACAAGACAGGTAGAGCCACCTGCAGGTCCTGACCTCTGAACTCTTCCTTCCCCGGCGCATCCAACAGTGACAGAGGCGTCCTGTCTTCCTCCTGCCACTCCCATGGCATCCCCGCCCTGCCCCACATTTCAAAGGGATGGCAGGCCCCTCCCTCCTACCTAAACCTACTGCAGACGCAGCAGGGAGCACCCAGGGGAGTTTAGGGGGCTGAGCCCAGGGGCTGGGGACCACCTCAGAGCACAGCAGGGGTCTGGAGAGTGTTGTAGGAAGACACACTCCAAGGGTCTGAGGACTCGGCTGACAAAACCACCCGCCAAGGCCACAATGCAACTTTGCTGCACGCAGCACAGGAGGTCACGAATCTGAGCGCCACAGTTGCAGCGAAACTCCTCTGTCCCCACTGAGCTGTGTGCTTAACCATGGGACACACAAGAAAGGCTCACGAGACCCCACATCCCAACCTGCCATGCCAGTCGACCAGCAGACCCACTCCGCCCAGTGTCTAAGCAAGGCCACCCGATCTCCACAAACTTGTAAAGCAGGCAGACACCCCGACAATGCTGGGAAAGAGCTCTCCACACCTGCCTGGACCCTGTCCTCAGCCTCCCGCCTACTGTCCACACCTGCCTGGACCCTGTCCTCAGCCTCCCGCCTACTGTCCACACCTGCCTGGACCCTGTCCTCAGCCTCCCGTCTACTGTCCCCGATGGGTGGCTCTGGCCTTTCAGTCCCTCAGGTTACTGCCGTGGTCACACTGTGGGAAACGCTGCGGGTGCCACTCCTCCGCAGCAGCCCCCAGGTCACCAGGACACAACAGCTCCATGCACCCCACAGCCCTGCGTCAACGCCAGGCGGACGGCATCTGAATTCAGGTGGGACCCCCATGGGTCTGTTCTGACGCATCTCTCACCTGAGCCCCCCCAGACTCTGATCATCCCTAGGTCCCAAATAAGGGTAGATGGGAGGTGATCTGAGGGTGACAGGTGCAACTCCGGAGCCCACGGCCCAGCTACTGCCCTGCCCCACAACTGGGGCTGGCACTCAGGGCCAGGCCCTGTCAGCTCAGCAGGGACCCCCCCAGCAGGACTCTCATACCCTGCTCCCCACGAGGTGCCGTGGGAGTGGGCGAGGAGGGGAGCGGTGGTGTGGCTGACCTTGAGGTTATTGGGGTGCTTGTGTGTCCATGCCAGGAGCATGGCAGCAAACAGGTCCCCAGTGCCCACAAAGACGGCGTCCACCTTGCGAATGTCCATCCGGATGCGTTCCATCACCATGGAGCCAGCGGGATTCCCTAGGGGGAGAAGATGGGCAAGGTCACTGAGATCAAGGTCACTGAGATCTGCCGCTCCTCTGCCAGGGCCAGCCTCCCCGTCCCTGGTCTTCCCGGGCACAGCAGCAGGGAGGGTCACGGGGCAGAGCACACGGTGGCCTCGCTCAGGTTGCAGGGGCTCTGGGCCTGCATGGGGACCCCACCACCACCGCAAGGGAAAGACTGCAGCCTCAGAGAGCCACAGCCAGGCCGGCCTTGGGGGTCGCTGTGCAGCTCCCGAGAGTAACAACGGCGTGAAGAACTAGGAGATGTCTGCACACATCCAAGTATGTGTGTGTCCGCGTGTGTGTGTGCGTGCCTGCGTGTATGTGTGTGTGCCCGCATGTACCTGTGTGTGCCCACGTGTATGCATGTGTCCGTGTATGTGTGTGCATGTGTCCATGTGCATGTGCCCACATGTGTGCGTGTGCCCGTGTCCACATGTATGTGTGCGTGTATCCATGTCCACGTGTGTGTGCGCCTGTGTGTATGTGCAGTTGTGCCTATGTGTGCCCACAAGGCTCCCATGTCCAAACAGAGAGAGAGCGGCGAGGAGGCCACAACTGTTCTCACAGGGCCATGGGTGTGAACTTGTGGCCACTAGCTTAGGGCATGGCCCCAGCCTTGTGTGTCATTTTCACACTGTTCAGAGAAAACCAACCCGGTGGTATCTGTGTAAAGAATCAGCACAGCTGGGCGGACGCGTCCTCCCAGTGAACTCAGGGACTCGGCCCAGCTTCGAGGGAGGCCTATGATGCTGGGCCTGTGGAAGCGGGTTCCAGCCAGGCCATTCATCAGAACCTGTGCGGTCTCGGGAATCCCATCCGACCTCCAAGAGCCTGTAAAATGGGGGTGTCATCCCAGTGCTGGGTAAGGCATAATTTTCATGCTACTGAACCCAAAACATTCTTGAAGCCCTGAAGGACGCCTTCCTCTGGGAAGAGCAGAGGAGGCCGCGGTGCATAAGGGGGGCACTTACTCCTCCTCTGGCTCCCCAGGACAATCAGGTAGTCGCTGCCCTGCGGGGAGGGCAGGTCGGAGCTGGTGATGACCACGGTGTCGGGGCCCATAGAGTGCAGCATGTCCATCACCTGGCAGTGGCATGGGGAGTGTCAGCCACGCCGGCCACACGCCACTGCCCCAGAGCCCACCACTCCCCCGGGGCCTGCCACTCCCCCGGGGCCCGCCACACCCCACTCCCCCGGGCCGCCACACCCCACTCCCCCAGAGCCCGCCACTCCCCCAGGGCCCGCCCCCCCCACCCCCCCCGGGCCCGCCACACGCCACTCCCCTGGGGCCCCTCATACCCCACTCCCCCAGAGCCCATTCTCAATAGTGCCACTCCCAGAGGGGAGACAGCCACCTGGTCAGCCACCATCCTCCCCAAACTGTCAGCCCAAACTGTGTGGGTCCACGCAGGTGACTGGTGAGGGCCTCCCCCTTGGGGGCTGGACAGGTAAGTGGACAGATGCATGCCTGTCCTGCAGTGGGGAGGAGCTGGCCCCTCTGTACGTTGGTTTTTCTGTAACTCTTGTGGAAACTGTCTCCACTGCACGGCTGCCTCAGAGCAGGCAGCACACGTGCACACACACATGTGCTTCACACACACGCACGTGCGCACGTGCACACACACATTCATGCACACACACGTGCTGTACACACACGTCCATGCACACACACATACATGCTGCATCGCTACCCAGCACACGACCATAGCAGAATCTGGACCCTGCCCCAGGGCCAGCTGACTCTGCAGCCCCAGGGCCCAGTACCAGGTCAGCGAAAGGCCCCCGAGTGGGAGGAGTGGCCGCTGCAGTGACCCATTCCCAGGACCAGGCCCCTGGGCTGTGAAGACAAAACTCAGGGTAGGGTCAGGCTGTTCGGGAACGCAGCCCCAAGCACGTGGACTCCTGCTGCAGTCGGACAGTGTCCGCTCTAAAATGCATGTTGAAACATCGCACCCATGTGGCAATATTCCCAGGGGGTCCTCTGGGGCGTGATTAAGTCACGAGGCCTCCCCTTTCTCTGTGCCTGATGAAAGAGCTGGAGAAAGCAGCATGGGGTCCTCGAGCCCCCCGCCGTCCACACATGAGGATGCAGCAACAAGGCGCAGTCTGGGCGGCAAAGCAGCTCCCGCCAGACCCTGAGCCTGCCGGCGCCATGGCCTTAGACTTCCCAGCCTCCAGAACTGTGGGGAACAAAGTTCTGTTTTGTTTGTTTGTTTGTTTTGTTTCGTTTTTTTTGAGACGGAGTCTCACGCACTCTGTCGCCCAGGCTGGAGTGCAGTGGTGCAATTTCCAATCTCAACTCACTGCAACCTCCGCCTCCTGGCTTCCAGCGATTCTCCTGCCTCAGCCTCCCAAGTAGCCGGGATTATAGGCGTGCACCACCATGCCTGGCTAATTTTTGTATTTTTAGTAGAGGTGGGGTTTTACCATGTTGGCCAGGCTGGTCTCCAACTCCTGACCTCAGGTGATTTGCCCGCCTCAGTCTCCCAAAGTGCTGGGATTACAGGTGTTGAGCCACTGCATCCGGCCAAAACTTCCGTTTTTCATAAATCATCCAGTCTCAGGCATTTTGTCACAGCAGCCCCAACAGACTAAGATGACTCAACCAAGGCTCAATGCTAGCATGACACCCACGGTCCCCAAGTCCCAGAGAAAAAGGACTTTGAAGAAACTGCCCCTTGGGCGGCTGCATCTGCTCCTGTGTCGAGCCTCCAGCCTGCCCTGCAAATTCCAAACATGCCGAGGAGCCTTCAAACAGCTCAAGCCACCGCCTTGCAACATCTCTTCACACACACACGCACACACACATGCACACACACGCACACGGACACACACACGCACACACACACGCACATATGCACACACGCACACACATGCACACGGACACACACACGCACGCACACACACACATATGCACACACACGCACAAACACACGTGCACACACACACGCACACACATGCACATGGACACACACACACGCACATATGCGCACACACATGCACACGGACACACACGCACACACATGCACATATGCACACGAACACACACGCATATGCACAGACACGCACATACAGACACACACACGCACATATGCACACACATGCACACACACATGCACACACACACGCACACACACATACGCACACACATGCACACGGACACACACACATATGCACACACACGCACACACATGCACACACACACGCACACACACATACGCACACACATGCACACGACACACACACAGGTGCACACACGCACACACACATGCACAATGGACACACAGACACACGCACACACGCACACACATGCACACGGACACACACACATATGCACACACACGCACACACCCATACATGCACACACAGGCGCAAACACACGTACACACACACACTCGCACGCACACGTGCACACACATGCACACACACACATGCACACACACGCGCACATATCTGCTGGTCTCTGGAGGCCCCTGACTGGTACAAACGGTTCAGTCACTGCTGGGGACAAATGACGCAATGGTGCCACTCAGGCAGCCCGTCTCCCGTTCCCACCGTTGAGTGGCACATCTGCCCCGCACAGGCCCCAGAGGGCCTCCTTACCGCCAAGGCTTCCTCCTGGCTGTGGATCTTCCGGCCACTCAGTAACCTGGAAGACAGGCGGGGGCAGGCAGGCGGGGGCAGGCAGGCGGGGACAGGTGAGCCTCTCTTCCCCAGGTTGTGTGCTGACATTTCCCAAACTACAGCGGCTCTGGAAAGCCTCATCCCCACAGGCTCTTCGTCCACTGGCCACCATGGGCCAGGGCCTCTGCAACATGTGCGGTTTGCTTCTAAAGGGGACACTCATATGACAGGAGCCAGGCAAGGCCCAATCATGGCTGCTGTTTATTCGTAACCAAGGTGATGGACAGCAGCCACGGCCCCCACTTAAGGCCATGCCATAGTGCAGGGTCTCAGCATGGGTGACTGACGTCCGTACAAAGTCATACAGCCGCTAACGATTAATGCACGCAGGGGCTGCCCATGGCTCAGGGGCCTCGAGTGAGATGCCACCACCGAGTCTGGACAGGCCCAGGTCAGAGATCCCAGGCCTCCAAGAGTCCAGGCGCCTCCCACCCCTGCGTGAATGGGAGACTCGGGATGTGGCTCAGGGCCAGGTAGAGCTAAGCTATGACAGGCACCAGCCTCCTCAACAGGCAGCTCCACTCTTAATGGCACTGGGGTGCTGGGGGCTTCCCCTTGGCGTCTGATTCTTCAGCTGGGGGGCCATGCACCCAGAGTAAGACCTTTTCAAACTCGGTATCAGACAGGCAGGCCCAACACACTCCTCTTCCCCTCACAGGGTGGCAGGTGACCTGGCTGCCTGTGCTGCCCCCACCCTCCCTCCACTGTGGTGGCCCAGACAAGCCTACAGCTCCCCAAGTCGCCCTCCCCTTCCTCTCCCAGGGGCCCTGCTGCTCAGGAAGGCACAGGGGCAAGAGAACTTTCCCCATCGCCCATGGCTGCCGCCACCAAAGGGAAGATGTGAGCCTGGGACCCGGGTGGGCAGGGACTTCTCCAACCCAGGCGCCCCCACCACATCCTGCTCTAGTATCACGGCACACTTGCCCCGCGGCAGGACCTTCCTGAGGACCCCTCTGTAAGCAGAACAGGCAGCCGAGGGCAGAATGGAGACCCTTCTGGCATGTTCTCTGCAGCTCTCCCTGGGGAAAGACTGGTAGCATTTGCCATTTAAAATGACTTACTCTGCTGGGCACCCTGGTTCACGCCTGCGATCTCAGCACTTTGGAAGGCTGAGGTGGGTGGATCACCTGAAGTTAGGAGTTCAAGACCAGCCTGGCCAACATGGTGAAACCCCATCTCTACTAAAAATACAAAAATTAGCGGGGCATGGTGGCTCACGCCTGTATCCAGCTACTTGGGAGGCTGAGGCAGGAGAATCGCCTGAACCCTGGAGACAGAGGTTGCAGTGAGCTGAGATTGTGCCACTGCACTCCTGCCTGGGCGACAAGAGCGAGATCCGTCTTGAAAAATGAAGTAAAATAAAATAAAATGACTTACTCAGCCTCAAACTGGTTGGGCGTGATAATGTCTGCAACCGGCACCACTTTTTCTTTGTAGACAGGAAGGAGGTCCTCCGGGACATACTGGCGAACAAAGGAGACAGGAGGAGAGGCTGAGTCACTGGGAGGGAAGCATGCCAGGGGGCGCGGAGGGAAGCCCACCACAGAGTGCTCCCTAAAAAGCCCCCTGAAGTCCAGGCTCAGGGGCCAGGCCGACCAACTGTAGAGACAAGCTGTTCCCACCACAGGGGCAGCATGTGGCTGAGGCACACTAGCGTGGGGAACCCTAAGTGCTCCAGGGGCCGAGGGAGGACTCAGGCCGCACAGTGGGTCCCCGCAGAGGGTCTGGGAGGAGAATGAGGTAAAGGAGAGAGGGAGGGAGGGAGGAGGGAGGAGGGAGACGAGAAAAGGGAAACCTGACGGGTGGATGGAGCGGCCCTGGTCATCTGGGGAGGGCTAGGGGGCGCTGGCCATGCCCATCTGCGACTGGGAGCCCAACCCGCCAGCTCTTCCTGGCTGAGTCAACGCACCCTTCATCTACTTGTTTTTGTCTAAGTTGTCTAACAAACAATTCAACACGTGATTTTTTGTTTTGTTTTTTAAGACATAATTTCGCTCTTGTTGCCCAGGCTGGAGTGCAATGGCGTGGTCTTGGGTCACTGCAACCTCCACCTCCTGGGTTCAAGTGATTCTCCTGCCTCAGCCTCCCGAGTAGCTAGGATTACAGGCGCCCACCACCACGCCTGGCTAACTTTTTTGTATTTTTTTAGTAGAGATGGGGTTTCACCATGTTGGCCAGGCTGGTCTCGAACTCCTGACCTCAGGTGATCCACCCGCCTCAGCCTCCCAAAGTGCTGGGATTACAGGCCTGAGCCACCGTGCCAGGCAACACAGAGTTTTCTTTAGTGATCAAATTTAAGCTGGAGCCAGGGCGAAGCTTCGGAAGAATTTTACAGGCTTTATGGAACACTTCACCAGTCCCTGCTGGCTGAGTGACCTGAGTTTCCAATCCCTTCACTTCACTTTGCTCCCAGAAACCGCCCTTGGAGATCGGAGGCCCCGCAGGAGGCACCTCTGCACCGGGTGCTCAGAGCACGCAAGGTGGTCACGCACCGGCCGCTGCTTCAGACGTGGCTTAGGAGGCACTAAGGATAGGTGGGTGGCACCTGGATGTCCCGGATCCGTAGGCCAGGAAATGGAAGGAAAGCTCTTTAGAGCCCCATTTTGGGTAGGTAGGCCCAAGCACACCCCTTTAACCTCAGGGAAATGGGAGAGACAGGGTGACTGCCCATCTGAGATAGGAGCTCGTGTTCAGGCCACTCTCCTTCAGGAAAATGAATGTGATCAAAATCAAGGGGCCAGATCCCGTCGCTGCACTGAACCGGACAGTGGCCCCAACTCTTTGTGATCCAAACACGAGTATCTGCTGAGGGCTGGCAGAGCCCACGCCAGGGAGCACCATGAAGGGAAGGCAGAGAGCTGCAAGCTGGGGTCCTGCAGGATGGGCGCAGGGCAGGGAACCTTCCAGAGAACAAGCATGGGAGAAAGTGGACAGACAGACGCCGAGCAGACCAGCCCGCCCCACCCGGTTAGAGGCCCAACAACAGATATCCTGACTTCAACCACTGACCCAGCGGGGCAGGTAGGGCACAGGCACAGGCGTGCCCTGTGCCAGTGAAGAAGCCCGCTGTGCTCAGTGAACGTACAGCAAGCAAACAGACACACTAGACACAACGACAAAGAAGGCGGATACTGAAATCGCCTGGGCGCTGAATGGCTGAGTTAAAAACCCACAGGCAGGATCACCTTTGGGTTCCTTCCGCCTCTAAATTCTAGGCTTCTGGACTGGTCACAGTGGATCTGTTCTCCATCCACTTGATCTGATGTCCAGGTCTGTGGGCTGCAGCTGCTGCTGTTACTACACAGCTCACGGGCTCAGTGGTTTCTAGATTTCCTTTGTTTTTTGAGATGGGGTCTTGCTCTGTGGAGTGAGTGTAGTGGTGCGATCTCAGCTCACTGCAGCCTCCACCTCCTGGGCTCAAGTGATCCTCCCACCTCAGCCTCCCAAGTAGCTGGGACTATAGGTAGGCATCCCCACACCCAGCTCATTGTTTTGTATTTTGATTACAGATGGTGGGGTTTCCCCATGTTGCCCAGGCTGGTCTCGAACTCCTGGGCTCAAGTCAGCCACCTCCCAAAGTGCTGGGATTACAGGCGTGAGCCACTGCACCCAGCCTGGTTTCTACATTTTTAAATGGTTAGGGGGAAAAAGTCAAAAAAAAGAATGACATTTTGTGACACATGAAAATTATGGAAAATTCAAATTTCAGTGTCCGCAAATGAAATTTTATTAGAAAATAGTCATGCATGGCTGTGCATGGTGGCTCATGCCTGTAATCCTAGCACTTTGGGAGGCCAAGGCAGGTGGATCACTTGAGGCTAGGAGTTCCACACCAGCCTGGACAACATGATGAAATCGTATCTAGTAAAAATACACAACTTAGCTGGGTGTGGTGGTGATGCACACCTGTAATTCCAGCTACTTGGGAGACTGAGGCATGAGAACTGCCTGAGCCTGGGAGGCAGAGGTTGCAGTGAGCTGAGATCGTGGCACTGCACTCCAGCCTGGGTGACCGAGTGAGACTCCGTCTCAATAAGAAAAGAAAGAGAAGAAAAAGAAGAAGAAAAAGAAAGGAGAGGAGAGGAGAGGAGAAGAGGTCATCCTGTTTGTACACCTCTTACCTGTGGCTGCTTCTGTGCTCCAATGCAAACATCTGTGGCAGAGCCGTGCGGCCGGCAAAGGCGTAAACATTTATCTACTATCGGGCACTTTACAGAAAACATGTGGGTCCCCTTTTTCCTTCCTAACAAGGTTTGTCTTTTTACCCCTGGACAGAGAAGTCCCACCAAGTTAGACACTTAAGAGACGTGGGCCTGTCTTCTGGCTGGACAGGAATAGCTCCACTCACCACACTTTTAAATCACACACATGAGATTACTCACCATCGAGCCTTCGCCATCCCACTTGTCACCCAAGACTGGATCACACACTGCAGAGACACAAGGACATCTTATCAGCAAAGGCTACAGCTGACAAGTATGAAACCCTCAACATTTCTTTCTTCTTTTATTTTTTAGACAGGGTCTTGCTCTGTTGTCCAGGCTGGAGTGCAGTGGTACAATCATGGCTCACTGCAGTCTCGATCTTCTAGGCTCAGGGGATCCTCCTGCCTCACCCTCCCAAGTGGCTGAGACCACAGGCATGCACCAGCACACCCAGCTAACTTTTAAATGATTTGTACAGATGGGTTCTCACCATGTTTCTGAGGCTGGTTTTGAATTCCTAGGCTTAAGCGATCCTCCCACCTTGGCCTCCCAAAGTGCTCGGAACACAGGCGTAAACAACCACATTTGGCTTTTTTCTTTCTTTTTTTTTTTTTTTAAGCTGCCAAGTGGAAGTAGATATCTTCTCTTTTTTAATTTAACTTTTTAATGTGGTAAAAAATATATACCATAATCTTTGCCCGTTTAAGCATATTTTCGTGTACAGTTCAAGGGCATTAAACGCATTCCTGCTGTTGTATAATTACGACCACTCTCCACCTCCAGAACATTTCACCTTCCCAAACCGAAACTCTGTCCTCATTAAACACTCACTCCCCATTCCCCCTGCCCTAGGCCCTGGTCATGTCGAGTCTACTTTTTTTTTTTGAGACAGAGTCTCATTCTGTCACCCAAACTGGAGTGCAGTGGTGTAATCTCGGCTCACTGCAACCTCTGCCTCCCAGGTTCAAGCAATTCTCCTGCTTCAGCCTCCAAAGTAGCTGAGATTACAGGTGCACGCCACCAGACCTGGCTAATTTTTGTATTTTTAGTAGAGATGGGGTTTCACCATGTTGGCCAGGCTGGTCTTGAACTCCTGACCTCAAGTGATCTACCTGCCTCGGCCTCCCAATGTGCTGGGATTACAGGTGTGAGCCACCATGCCAGGCCTTAGTCTGCTTTCTACCTCGATGAATTGGCCTATCATGGATATTTCAGATAATGGAATCATGTAACAGTCGTCCTTTGGTGTCTGGCTACTTTCACTGAGCATCATGTCCTCAAGTGTCATCCACACTGCAGAGTGTGTCAGAAATTCCTTCCTTTTCCAGACTGAGTAATACTCCACTGTATGCACGGACATTTTCTTTGTCAGCCATCAATGGACACAGCCTGTATCCACCTTTGGTCACTGGGAACAATGCTGCTACAGACGTGGGAATACGCACATCCGTCTGAGGCTATCTCAGATTTATGCACAGGGCGGAATTGCTGGTCATGTGGTGTCCGTGTTCCGCTTGTTGGGGAACTGCCAACGTGTTTTCCACTGTGGCCACACCCTTTGATACTCCCAGCAGCTGTGCGTGAGGGTTTCTGCATCCTCGCCCACACTTGCTATTTTCCGTGTGTTTGATGACAGTCATCCTAATTGCTGTGAGGTGACATTCATCACTGTTTGTCACCCAAGCAGGTGCAGCGGCTCCCTTCCTCTTCCTGGCCTCGAGCACACACAATCCGGGCCTTGTACATCTGTCCCGACAAGCGCTTTCCCTTTGGGCAACAGTACACAGCATGGCAAACCATGTGCTGGGCCAGGCCTGCCCTCCGGCCACCCGGGAGACCTGCGCCTCAGAGAGAGCCTGTCTGCAAGGCTGGGTGATGCTGCCCCTTCTCCCAGGCGGCAAGATGGACCCAGCACTGCCTGGCCTCTAAGGAAAGATCGATCTAGGCAGATGCCCCAAAGATTTAGCCACTCCCTAGCCTGGCCCAGCCTGGGTAGGACCCTGTCCTCCCCCACTTCCTAGCCCTGGACCTACCTGGGGTGTGGCCCTCCCCTCACCTACTCCCTAACCTGGCCCTGCCTGGGTGTGACCCTGTCCGTCCTCACTCCCTAGCCTGGCCCTGCCTGGGTGTGGCCCCTTGCCCCCTCCGCCTTTAGGGTCAGTGGAGTCACACAACAGTGCTGCCTGGGCCCCAGGCCTTCACACAGCAGCCCTGCTATATGAGCACACTGACACCCCTTCCTGTCTCACACCAGCCACACAAGACACCAAGGTCACCCGCAAACGCTTCCAGCCCAGTGGACTTCAGCAGGCCACATCTTCAGAGGCCTGGCAGACATAGCTCACTGGCCCGGAGAGGTGGGGCATAGAGGGGTGCAGATGAGGAAGGAGGCTAAGACGTCCCTTTCCGGGCTCCCACGCCAGTGAAAATAGATTTAGAAACTTAGAAACCTTTAAACTTATAGATTTAGAAACTTAGAGACTTAGAAACTTAGAAGCTTAGAAACTTAGAGACTTAGAAATTTATAGACTTAGAAGCTCAGAGACTTAGAGACTTAGAAACTTAGAAGCTTAGAAAAGCCACACCAGGTGGTTATCTAAAAGCACCCACCCAACGACCAGGTGGCCATCTAAAGCACCCGCCTGATGTCCGTGTGGCTATCTAAAACACCCACCCATATTCCTGGAACTCAAACAGAAGAACAAGTCCGGGAAATACCCCGCGCGGGTTCAAACCAGGTTCTAACCAACCAATTAAAGTAAGACATCTCGCTCAGGCCATAACCTGCTCCAATCATCTTGCGCCTCAAGCTTTGTAAAATTTTGTGGTTTTTTGCCTTTATAAACTGTCTGTAACAAGCATTCGGGGTCCTGTGGCCAACTTTGGACATAGGACCCTAGCGCGCTAGCAATAAATCTCTCCGCTGTGACTTCCGTGTCGAGTGGTCTCTCGCGGCGACCCCAGCCCAGGAAGGAATCTGAAAACTGGGTTCCTACACCAGCCCTACCCTGTGTGGGGCCACCCAGCCAGACCCGAGGGTGGGCCCCTGCCTACCGTATACCAGCCTGGGGTTCTGCTGTTTCAGCTCCCGCACAATGTCCACCACCATGGCCAGGAACGACTTGTCCCTCGTATAACCTTGAGGGGGAGAACCCAGGTTACCCTCAGAAAACAGGAGACTCACCACGATCAACCAGGGCACAAAGAAAGAGAAGCACCAGCAGACCCTGCATAGGGGTGGTGGGGGAGGGAGGCGGGTGCAGGCGAGGTGTCCCCACAGCGCTCAGGGTTGGGGGGAGGGAGGCGGGAGCAGGCGAGGAATCCCCACAGCGCTCAGGGTTGGGAGGAGGGAGGCGGGAGCAGGCGAGGAATCCCCACAGTGCTCAGGGTTGGGGGAAGGGAGGTGGGTGCAGGCGAGGTGTCCCCACAGTCCAAAGATACCGAGGGCAGACCCCGAAGCATTTCCCAACAGAAACGCCGTGCTTCACAGGAACGAGCCCACGGGCGAGAGGTGAAGGAGTAATCTTTCCTTTGTTTATATTCCTACTTTCAGTAACAAGCATATGACACTTTAATTTAGTCTTATTTATTTTGACACAGGGTGTCATTCTGTCCCCCAGTCCAGAGTGCAGTGGTTCAATCACAGCTCACTGCAGCCTTGAACTCCCAGGCTCAAGCTCCCACCTCAGCTTCCCGAGTAGCTGGGACTATGCCCAGCTAATTAATTTTTAAAACATTTTTTGTAGAGACAGGGTCTCACTATGTTGCTTAGGCTGGTTTTAAACTCCTGGCCTCAAGCGAGCTTCCCTCCTAGTCTTCCTGAAGTGCTGGAATTACAGGTTTGAGCCCCTGTGCCTGGCCTTATATATGACCTTTAGACACGTAGAGAGGCCGGGCACTGTGGCTCACACCTGTAATTCTAACACTTTGGGAGGTTAAGTGCTTCCCCTAACCGTTTAAAAATGTAGAAACCAGGCTGGGTGCAGTGACTCATGCCTGTAATCCCAACACTTTGGGAGGCCAGGGTGGGTGGCTGGCTTGAGCCCAGGAGTTCGAGACCAGCCTGGGCAACATGGCAAAACCCTGTCTCTACAAAAAAAAAAAAAAAAAAAAAAAAAAGGCGTGGTGGTGCATGCCTTTACTCCCAGCTACCTGGGAGGTTGCGGCAGGAGGATCACCTGAGCCCGGGAGGTTGAGGTTGCAGTGAACTATGACTGCGCCAGTGCACTCCAACCTGGGCCACAGAGTGAGACCCTGTCTCAAAAATAGTAATAATAATAATTATTACAATAATAAACATGTATAGAAATGCAATTTTTGTTTAATCAGAAAGTTGACAAAGAATGCCAGTGTACCAGGTAGCAGCCCGTCACCTGAGTGTCCCACCCACCTGTCCTGCCCCGGTCACCGTTCCCAACACCCTGCCTGCACCCTCCCCTGGGCACCGGAACCCCAGGAGTGGGGGTGACTTGGCACAGCCAGGACAGTCATTGTCCAGGCAGGCACGGCATGGCCAGGACCCCCCAGGCTACCGGGGGTGTGATGGTGGCTTGGGCACGCCGAGGCCCTCCTTGAAGGAGCAGGGACCCGAGATGGGCCCGGGGTGGGGGTGCTCTGGACCTCCCTGAGCCCACCCTGGCTGGAGCGGGGTCTGTAGACCCCTGCAGCAGCTCGCTGCGGCACCCACCTGTGAGCACGTAGTCATATTTATTCACGTTGTTCAGCTTCAGGCCTTCGTACAACTCCTGCAGCTCATCTGAATTCAGCACTTGGCCCTTCCAGTGGGCATAGCCTAGAGGCAGAGGAAACCATCGGGGCTCAGACACAAGGGGGCCAGCCATGCGGTCACGGGCCTCCGTCAACACCCGCCCACTCTCCCTGAGGCTGCCTGGTGGACGGCTCCTCCCCGTGGACTGGCACAAGGCCCGCAGGAGATCACCAGGCACAGTGCTTGGCAGGTCCCGACAGCTGTCCAGACTGGACACCTCAAGACCCCGTGAGCCCCCTGACCCTACACTGTCAGGGATTGTTACTACGGCCTCAGTGGCCCCCACCCTCCCACTGCCAGTTCCTGTGGGAGCTGCGTCCCAGGTACAGGTGGGGTGTGCGGAGACACACACCAGCTCACAGCTGTGTTGCTCCCCCATTGCTGTCCAGAATGCCCCGGCTACGATCTCCCCACAACGCCACAGCCTCTTGTTTGCCAGAGTCTCCTGCACGAGCTCCCAGCTATTCAGGCCGGGGTGCTCGGCCACCGGCCACTGTCACCTGGACACCCTGGCAGGTAAGGCCTGTTACGTCCCCACCCCAACAAGCTTATTAAGGTGCAATTAGAGCCAAACTTAGATCAACTCCTGCGCAAGAGACAAATGTGAAAGAGAAAGAGGCCTCAGCCCAGGTGTATACGACCTGCCCTTGGCCTGATGGGTAGCCAGGGTGAAGTGTCCACCCCAGGCAGACAGGCATATCAACGTGTGAGGACAGACACATCGGCTTCCTGCACGCGGGGGACCACCAGCCCCCTGGGAGCCCTTCCTGCACTGTGGGACCCGACCACAGCTCCAGCTCAAAGCACGGTCAGGGGGCAGCCATCCACACAGGGTGGGGTCCACCATGGATACCCCACATTCGCCATGCCTCACATCGAGGGGCCTCTGGCCTCCTCCCACGTGCATCATCGTGTAACGCATGCCTTTTTCGGCAAATAAGGAAAACTCTGACGTATGGATTCCTACAACAGCAAAGTCCAAGTATCACGCACTGGTAGGTCACGGCCGGCTCTGAGCCCACGCGCCATGCCCTGTGGCTAAGATCCCCTGAATTCCCACACCAGAGGACGGCTCCATGGCTCCTGCCCCTGAGGGCCCTCCTGCTTGAAGGGACTCCTTTGGCTGTCCCCAGGAGCCATCGCACGGGAGCACGCGTGGCACAAAAGTACTGAGACTTCCATCAGAAACAATGCTCCAGGCACGGTGCGGCATCTGGAGTGTGCATCTGGGGGCGCCTGCCCTGTGCTCTGCCCGGGACACCAGAATAGACGCACTGAGGGGTGGGTCTGCCAGAGACCAAGCCCCTGATGGACTCCGGGTTAACAGTCACTGCGGGTCAGGAGGGGCAGGGGGTATCCACCGAGGGCAAGGTCAGTGCCTCACACAGCAGCCTGCCCCTCTGGTACAGGGTGTGTCCTGGGGAGGCTTCTGCCAGGCTGGGGCGGGGTTTGGGATGAGGGGTAGGAAGAGGGAGGCGAGCAATGGTCCCTCCTGGTCCTGTCTGCCCTCGGATTCTGAATATCTTTCCAAGCAAGATGGGACTCACCACCGCTGCACTTGTGCTCCTTTCCTGGGGAGGTGACATGGCCTGGCTGTGTCCCCACCCAAATCTCATCTTGAATTGTAGTTCCCATAATCCCCGTACGTTGTGGGCGGGACCTGGCAAGAGGTCATTCAACCATGGGGACGGTTCCCCCATCCCGTTCTCGTGATAGGGACTGAATTCTCACAAAAGCTGATGGTTTTAAGGGGCTTTTAAAACCCTGGGCCCCTCACTCTGCACTTCTCCTTTCTGCTGCCATGTGAAGAAGGACGTGTTTGCTTCCACTTCTGCCATGACTGTAAGTTTCCTGAGGCCTCCCCAGCCCTGCTGAACTGTGAGTCCATTAAACCTTTTTCCTTTATAAATGACCCACTCTCAGGTACACCCTTATTAGTGTTGGGGACCAGCCTCAACGCCACCCGTGGTGAGAAAGGAAGGAGAACAGACAGGTTAAGAGTTCATAAAGGTGGGGCTGGGCACAGTGGCTCATGCCTGTAATCCCAACACTTTGGGAGGCCAAGGCGGGCGGATCATGAGGTCAAGAGATCGAGACCATCCTGGCTAACACGGTGAAACCGTGTCTCTACTAAAAATACAAAAAATTAGCCGGATGTGGTGGCGGTGCCTGTAGTCCCAGCTACTTGGGAGGCTGAGGCAGGAGAATGGCATGAACCTGGTAGGTGGAGCTTGCAGTGAGCAGAGATCACGCCACTGCACTCCAGACTAGGAAACAGAGTGAGATTTCATCTCAAAAAAAAAAAAAAAAAGAGTTCATAAAGGTGGGAGCCAGGGGGCCAGTTGCAAAACGGAGGCTGCGAAAGGCACCGAGCTCTGGTGTCCACACTATTTATTGGGTACAATCACTTAGATCTAAGAAGCAGACGTTCAGGGCGAAACGGTGAAAGGGAGGCAGTACGTCACAGGCGTAATCTATAGCAATAGCAGTTTAAAGGAATCTCCTTTGTGCTCAAACAGCGTATCTTTAACTTATCAGAGAGTAGCTAGTGGGAGCGGCTTAACCAGCAGCCTGCACGTCTGTCCACATTCCAACGCTTTCTCCTTGAACACCGTGTTTACAGATAAGAGAGCAGGTCTCGCTCTGAGCATAGGAACATGATGGCAACTAGGAGGCTTTCCTCCTCAGAGATCTCTTGTGGCTTTCCACAACTTATTGTCCCATATTTTTATGGCCAGTTTATACAGGCGCCCCACAAGCCCTTTTCCCAACAATTAGCAGTGTGAGAATGGACCCATACAGGGTGGCATCGAGAAGGACTGCAACCAGGCGGCTCCAATTCTCCTACTGTCCTGGGCACTGGGTCCAAGATCAAGGCGTCTCCAAGGCTGGTTCCCGAGGCCTCTCCCCAGGGCTTGCAGACAGCATCGACTCCCCATGTCCTCATGGCGCTGTCCCTCTGTGTGTGTCTGTGTCCTCATCTCATCTTCTTATAAGGACACCAATCAGCTTGGATCAGGGCCCACCCAGAGCCCTGATGGCCTCTTTTAACCTGATGACCTCTGTAGGGGCTCCATCTCCAAATCCAGTCCCACTCTGAGGTGCTGGGGTTAAGGCTGCAACATGAGAATTTGGGGGGATGTAATTCGGCCACAACAGCCGTGAGGAAGGGGAGACGTCCAGCACTTGGCCGGGTCTCAGACACAGGCTCCAGGCTCCTCTGAGGCCCAGCTTCCTCTCGAAACACGGCGCATGGTCTTGCACCTCTCGGTGGCCTCCTGCCCACTGTGGGAGGTGGGATGAGCCCAGAGCCCACAAGAACCTTCTCAAACAGGGGAGGGCACTTGGATCTTGTGTAGAACTCATTTCATTTACAGACGAAAAAACAGAGGCCAAACAAGCGGCAACTTGGGCAGCCCAAGGAGCCTGGCGCTCCGTCTGACCCCAGTCGGCCAGGGAGTCCGGGCCGTGCCTGGCCCCTCGCTGGTGTCCATCGGCAGGTTCCTGGCCCTGGCCTTCTCCAGTCCTGCAGCTCCTTGCGTTCACACCAGCTGCCCCTTCCCTGCAGCAGGGACCACCAAGCCCAGCAGCAGGTCACCTGTCCCACCCGCTCCGGCTCCACACTCCAAAAGCCAGGACAGCGCGACCTGTCCACCCGCTGACCTCCAGCTCCGCAGGCTCCTTCCCAATGCCCTCAGGCCAGGAAACTCAGACAGGAAGCTCCAGGAAATCCTCTCAAACGGGCCATTAGGCATGCTGGCCTCAAGGCAGAGGCTCTGCCAAGCCTGGCTGCCCTGGGCTTGGGAGGCACAGCTCAAGAGTATGGAAAAATGAATGGGGGTGTGGTGTGGCCTCAAGGAACAGGGGCCTAGTCGGGGGAAGGTGCAGAAGTGCGAGCAGCAGCCCCGAGGCGGCGAGGCCTGCACCAGGTGGGCTCTGCAGGCATTTGGGGGCTCGGCTTTCCCATCCCCCAGCCTGATGGGCGTCAGGGAACCAATGAAGCAGCTTATGTGGAACACTCATGTCCCCGCCAGGAGTCTGGCTTTGCTGTCCATCCCAGGCAGAAGCTGCCCATGTGACCACCCCAGTAACAAATCTGGGCAGGAGGGGGGCGTGGTGGCGCACACCTGTAGTCCCAGCCACTCGGGAGGTGGAGGCAAAAAGATCGCTTCAGCCCAGGAGGTCAAGGCTGTGGTGAACTGGCTGCACCACTGCACGTCAGCCTGGATGACAGAGACCTTGTCTCTACAAAAGAAAAAAGAAAAGACTGGGCGCGGAGTCTCACGCCTGTAATCCCAGCACCTTGGGAAGCTGAGGGGGCAGGATCGCTTGAGCCCAAGGAGTGCAAGACCACTGTGAGTGCAAGTGAGACTCTGTCTCTATGACAAATAGGAAAATTAGCTGGGTGTGGTCGTGCACACCTGTAGAGACCCAGTCACTTAAGAGGGTGAGGTGGGAGGACCTCTTGAGCTCAGGAAGTCAAGGCTGCAGTGAGCCACGATCACACAACTGCACTCCAGCCTGGATGACACAGCGAGACCTTGTCTCACAAAAAAACAAAAAAAACAGAAAAAGGAAAAAAAAAACCCTGGGCAGAGTCGCGAATGAGCTCCCTGGCAGCATCATCCCAGCTCCCTGCCAAACAAACTGCAGCCTGTGTGACCCCACCTCCAACTCCTAGGTGCGCACTGGAGAACTGAAAACATGTCTCCCCCCAAAACGTCTAGACACACGTTCATGGCAGCAAGACTCGCAACAGCCACAAAGTGGAAACAGCCCGAGTGTCCGCAGGGCTGCCTGTGGCTGGGCTCACGTGGCCCGTCACACAGGGCATGAGCTGCGTCCTGGGCACGCACGATGGGCCACATGGCAGGAGGAACAGGACAACACGGCCCCCCAGACAGCCCGGGGAGCGCAGTCCTGGAGCCAGGGTGCCCGGAGCAGAACAGCCCCTACGATGCGTGAGGCCCGTGGCGCGTGTAGAAGTCTTTCTTTGTGCATGATCAGGCCCAGTGAAATGCTTCCTGGAGGTGAGTTTGCTGAGACATAAGCACCTCTAGCCATTAGACAGACGGGGGGGGGAAACAAAAAGGAAAAACAACAACAAAAAAACTCAAAAAACAAAGAGCGCCTCCAGCTCCGTCGAGGTCTGTGGAATAGACAGTGTCATCATGAGCACTGTACTCACAGTGGGCGGCACGGGAGCCCAGAGGGGCTGAGGGGCTGTGTGGAGGAGGCCGAGTCCCCTGTCCTACCACCAGCTCCTGTGGCACCCAGGGCAGGTGCACGACGCACCAGCCTCACTCCCCAGCAGCACAGCGTGGCGGGGGCAAGGGAAGGGGAGCAGGCGGTAGGGCCCCAGTGCAGGGGAGAGTCACGCCTGCCCTCACTCCCTAGGGAGTTGCCCCTGAGCCACAGAGACGGCGTTAGGGAAGCTACACGGGGGCCTCCTGATCAGGCCGCACAGACAGCTGACCCCGAGAGTGTGGGTACAGGGTGCCAGGAGCCAGCCCACAGCCACAGATGGAACTGGCTAAGGGGTCCTAAACCAGCAGGCGCCCCATGGCATCTGGAGGAGGCTGGAGTGGGGGCTCCCAGGAACCACAGGCCGGACCCTGTGGGAAGGGATGCCCCCAGGCCATTCATCTGGTTCTGCAACTGTGGAGGCTCCCAAGCACCTGGGGTCCTGTCCTCATTCCAGCCCTCTGAGGGCAGGCCAGAGACCCCTTGTGTGTCTCGGGAACCTCGGGTCAGCCAGCCCACCTCCCACTGAGAAGCTTCCACCAAGCCTGGGAGACATCACCGAAGCCCAGGGCGCTCCCCGCATCCTGGAATCCACTCAAGGGCAGCTGGGTCTGTGAGGATGCTGAACCAGCACTTGCGGAGCACAGCACGGTCCCCAGAAACACACTCAACACCCTGCTTTAGAGTCCAAGCCAGCCAGCTCCCTCGCTGAAAAACAAATCCTAAAGGACGGCGGCGAGAGTAGCCAAGAAGAACATGTGGGTTCAGGGAGGCTCCTGGAGGGCCTGAGTCTTCGGGGACGTCTCCAAATCTCAGAGCACCCAGTGTGCCCAGCAAGCAAAGGTAGGAAAGGGTTCCAGCGAGAGCTGGAGCCCGTCCATCTGCACCGCCAAGAGCTGGAGTCTGTCCGTCTACACTGGCCGAGCAACCCTTTCCTCTCACTTAGCATGTGTCATGCCTGCCTCAAGAGAAACCACAGCACTTCTTCCTGCTCCCAAAGGTAGGGGCCAGGCCCTCCCACACATCCCATTGATGCTCTGCCAGGCTGTTTCTGGGACGTTCTGTGCTCCCAAGGTTCCGCCTGGGTTCAGAGAAATTTCAGGGGAAGCGAGGTGGGGTTTCAAAGAACAGAACAGCTTTGTTCTCCTGCCGACGAAGCCGTATAGGGACCACAGAGAGGAGGGAGGACTCCACGCACCTTCACCTCCAGGCCATAGGGCTGGGGGCATGGAAAGCATGGCCTGTGAGGGGCTTCTGAGGCCGGCCACCCTCAGTCCCCTGAGCCAGCAAACTCCTCAGCGTCTCAGTGCGTGGAGACAGATGCATACACGGGCCCCACAGCACTGCTGTTAACAGAGAAAACCCGGAACCATCTACATGTCCCCCAGCACAACCACCCCACGGGGCACCCTCCTCAGCTCCAGGAGGCAGGAACAGGCACCGCTCAGGCAGGCCGACAGCAGGAGTCACACAGCTGTGCTCTGAGTCAGGCCTTGGTCCAACTACTTTACACAATTTACCTAATCAACTCTGGCAACCTCACGGCAGCTGTTCGGATTGCCCTCCTGTTTTACAGACAAGGAAACTGAAGCACTGAGAGGCTCTGCCACTGGCACTGGGTCACGCAGCCCCAAAGCAGCCAAACTGAGTCAATACATCCCCACTCAGAGGTGAGGCCACCCAGGCCTACGCCTTGATGTGCTGTGCAGGCTCTGCCCGAGCGACGCCCAGGACTCCAGGTCCCTGTCCACATGAAAGCCCCATGCCTCACACCCACACTCCGCCCCGTCCCTCACACCCACGCTCCGCCCCGTCCCTCACACCCACGCTCCGCCCCGTCCCTCACACCCACACGCTCCGCCGTCCCTCCCACCCAGCTCCTTCCCGAGCCTCCCACCGCACACTCCCGCCCCGTCCCTCACCCACGCTCCGCCCGTCCCTCACACCGCGCTCCGCCCCGTCCCTCACACCCACCTCCGCCCCTCTGCTCCCACACCTCCGCCCCGTCCACTCCGCCCGTCCCTCACTCGAGCACTCCGCCCGTCCCTCACACCCACCTCAACCGTCTCACACCCACACTCCACCCCGTCCTCACACCCACCTCCGCCCCGTCCCTCACACCCACCTCACCCCTGAGCCTCACCACGCACCTCCGCCCCGTCCCTCCACCCCGCTCCGCCCCGTCCCTGCACCCACCTCCCGCCCCGTCCACCCACCCACACGCCGCCCCGTCCCGCCTCCGCCCGTCCCTCACTCGAGCCTCCGCCCGTCCCTCCACCCACACCTCCGCCCCGTCCCTCACACCCCACCTCAGCCCGAGCCTCACGCCCACTCCGCCCCGTCCCTCACACCCCACCTCCGCCCGTCCCTCACACCCACGCTCCATACGTCCCTCACACCCACACTCGCCGTCCCTCACACCCACCTCCGCCCCGTCCTCCGCCCGTCCCTCCTCGAGCACTCCGCCGTCCTCACACCCCACGCCCTCCGCCCAGGCCTCACACGCCCACCTCCGCCCGTCCCTCACACCCACCTCCGCCCCCGTCCCTCACCCACGCTCGCCCGTCCCTCACACCGCGCTCCGCCCGTCCCTCCCACACCACCTCGCCCAATCCCTCACACCCACGCTCCGCCCGTCCCTCACACGCTCCGCCCGTCCCTCACACCCACACTCCGCCCCTCCACTCCCCTCCGCCCGTCCCGCCTCCGCCCGTCCACGCACTCCGCCCGTCCCTCCCCGCCTCGGGCCTCCCGCCCGTCCTCACACCCCACCTCGCGAGCCTCACCGCCCTCCGCCCGTCCCTCACACCACCACTCCGCCCGTCCCTCCCACACACGCTCCGCCCAGGCCTCCCACCGCGCCCACCTCGCCCGTCCCTCACACCGCGCTCCGCCCCTTCCCCCCTCACACCACGCTCCGCCGCCCCTCACTCCCGCTCCGCCCCGCCCCTCACACCCACGCTCCGCCCCGCCCCTCACACCCACGCTCCGCCCCGTCCCTGCTCCCCATCGCCGTCCCACACTCCGCCCGTCCCTCCTCCGCCCGTCCCTCACTCCGCCGCACTCCGCCCCGCCCCCTCACACCCGCTCCGCCCCGCCCCCTCACACCGCGCTCCGCCCGTCCCTCCACACCCACCCTCTGCCCCGTCCCACTCCACCCTCCGCCCGTCCCCCTCACACCTCCGCCCGCCCCACACCCACGCCCCGCCCCTCACCGCTCCGCCCCCACACCCACGCTCCGCCCGCCCCCTCCACCCGCGCTCCGCCCCGCCCCTCACACCCACGCTCCGCCCCGTCCCTCACACCCGGCGCCCGCCCAGCGTCTCACACCGCCCGCCCCTCACGGCCTCGCCCCGCCCCACCCCTCACACCCACACTCCGCCGCGTCTCACTCCCACGCCCTGCCCCACCTCACTCCCACGCCCCTCACACCCACACTCCGCCCCGCGTCTCACTCCCACGCCCTGCCCCACCCCTCACTCCCACGCCCCGCCCCTCACACCCACGCTCCGCCCCGCCCCTCACACCCACGCTCCGCCCCGTCCCTCACACCCGCGCCCCGCCCCGCGTCTCACACCCCGCCCCGCCCCTCACACCGGCACTCCGCCCCGCCCCACCCCTCACACCCACACTCCGCCCCGCGTCTCACTCCCACGCCCTGCCCCACCCCTCACTCCCACGCCCCGCCCCTCACACCCACGCCCCGCCCCGCCCCTCACACCCACGCCCCGCTCGGCCCCTCACACCCACACTCCGGCCCGCCCCTCACTCCCGCGCTCCGCCCCGAGCCGCACTCCCGCGCTCCGCCCCGCCCCTCACTCCCGCACTCCGCCCCGCCCCTCACACCCGCACTCCGCCCCGCCCCTCACTCCCGCACTCCGCCCCGCCCCTCACTCCCACACACTGCTCTGTGCCGGCGGCTGGAGCCAACACCTTACCTGTGTGGTTTGAAAACTGGACAGAGTTTACCGCGTCGATCTCAAATCCCAAAACCTGCAAGACAGAGAAGGAACAGGTAGGCATGAGAGAGCCAGGTCTGGGGTTCCACGAACCCCGGCAGGCACTGACTCAGAAGAGGGGAGTAAATGAGCCCCGGCCGGCATGGGGCCCCCAGGTGCAGGCCGGAGGGCCGACGTGTCAGAGCAGGAGGCTCTCCCCAAGTCACAGGTGACATTGGCACGTCCAGGGCTTCGCATATCTGGAGCTGGATTTCCCTCTCTGGGGAGCAACCAGCCCGGGAGGGCATCGCCCGGCCCACAGCACCTCCATGGAGAAGCACTTCATGCATTATTCCAAAAATCGCACCCAACAAAAGCCCTCAATAAGACTAATAAACTAAACAATAAAACGAAGACAACACCCGTCTGTCCACACACTGAACAGAGGCTGCGAGGCCGTCTCTGCTGTGAAAATGTGGGCATCTACCCCACCCCTTGGAGGAAGCCAGGCCAAGGGCCCCGTGGGCAGCACACATGGCTGAAAAGCCTGAGTGAGAGACAGGGAGTGGGTGCGTGAGGACAGAGAGGGAGGGAAAGGGTGAGGGTTCCAGACAGATGGAGAGGGAGGACAGAACCCACGGAGCGGAGGCCTCCTTCCCGTATCTCCAGGGGCCAAGACCGGCCTCCACTAGTTTGGGAGGCCATCCCCACTCTCTCCCGTGCACCAGGAATGCCCCAAACCCTCTCTTCCTGCTGCATCTGGACAGCCAACCACCCTTGAGTTCCACCTTCATGTTCAAAGCCAGGCAGTGCCACCTCTGGTGTCAGCACTAGGAGAGCGGCTATTTCCAGGGAGGGGCTTCTGGGGCTTCTCAAATTTGTTTCTTCACTGGGTGGGGTTTGCTTTGTGATGATGAGTTGACCTATCTGCTTAGGATTTGTATTCACCAAGGTCTTTCTCTGAAGTCAGCATTATCACTAAACTAAGGAAACACGTTAACAGTCTTAGTAATCTAAAAAGTTAAAATTAGCACTTTGCGGCCAGGCGCACTGGCTCATGCCTGTAATCCCAGCACTTTAGGAGGCCGAGGTAGGAGTACAGCTTGAGATCAGGAGTTCAAGACCAGCCTGGGCAACATGGCAAAAACCCTGTCTCTAAAAAAAATACGGAAATTAGCCAGGCGTGGTGGCACACGCCCGTAGTCCCAGCTACTCGGGAGGCTGAGGTGGGAGGATCACTGAGCCCAGGAAGTGGAGGCTGCAGTGAGCCGTGATGGCACCACTGCACTCTAGCCTGGGTAACACAGTGAGGCCCTATCTCAAAAAACATAAAAATAAACATAAAAAATAAAATTGGCACTTTGCAAATGCACTAGTCCGAATCCACAGCCTCTATATACAGATGGCTTGCATTATTTCCAATCCTTTAAAATTCTAACCGACTGTGAAGAAACAGATATTAAGCAACGATGACACAAATCCTGAAAATCCTGCCAAAATATTCTGCTCCACTGCTTCTGGGTGTGTAGATAATTAATCCTTTGGGGCTGGCAAACGTATCCGAGAATGAAGTCGCTATTTTCTGCTTTTAAATGAGAGCACGAGCGAGCTGAGCCTCTGGGCTGGCATCTCCACTTCACACACCCCATCAAAATCAGCCTATTCATCAGCATTGCAAGCTGGTCTGGATGCTTCCAGAGTCTACCCATCCAACTTCATGTGCAAAACAAAGCCAGACTCAGAAGACGACAATGCATGGCGGGACGGGGTGCCGCGGTCCAGGACAGGAGCCTGGGACCCCAGAGAAAGGGGTCTCCCGCTGTTACACTTGTCCTTCAGCTGGAACCCATCCCTCTGTGCCGGACCGTGCCTCTGGAATTGGCATCTCTGTACAGCAGTGGCTCCCTCCCAGGCACTGCCAGGAGGTACCAAGAGTGTGAAACTGAAGCCTGCGAAGAGAATGGGCTTCTGCCAGCGGCACTCTTCCCCGGGGGCTCTTCTCCCCGCAGGGGCAGCGGTAGTGACCGTCCCTTCCCATAGCAGCAGCAGAATCCGCTTTGGGGCTTTCCCACCACCGGCAGAATTCCTCATCACATGCCCCCACAGACCGCCAGCACCTGCCAGCTGGCAGATACCCGCCTTCCCAGCTCCAAGTTCTAAAGAGCCCAGCAATTCTCTCTTATCCCAGGGTCAGCTGCGTGGAGCCGATGCTGGCAGGGTCTCCTCCACGACACCTGTGTTCCCTTTTTGCCTTCTCTGTTTTCTCAATACCTGGCTGAACAACGGCCTCCACAATTGTTGCTCTGGTTTCTGTTTCTGGACTGGACCCTGCTTGATACACCTCATCTTTCCCCACCCCCCAGGGAGCCAAGGACAGACTGGTTCTTGGCCCAAGGTTCAGCACAGCAGGCAGCTGGGCTCTCCACAACGCTCCCCTCCCGCCCAGAGCGTGGGCCCCAGTTCCGTCTCCTCCACAGACATCACAGGAAGCGCCTTCAACAGGGACAGGCCGGTGCCCTGTGAGCAGCCCTGCTGACTGATGGGACCAGCTTGGGATCCCCGTTAGGGACAGCATCGCTGGTCTGTGTATGTGAATCACCTTATTTTACAGTAAACCTGTCCCTACAATGGCCTATGGGGCTCTTCGGTGGCAGAATTCTAAGAATGACCTTCAGGGGCTCCACTCACCCTCAGGCAACCCCCTGAGTGTGGGTGAAACCTGTCAGTGTAATGAGATCTCTCTTCCGTGAGGATCTTCTTATCCAGGAGCGTCTAAGTGAATGACATGAGCCCTTCAAAAGCAGTTTTCTCAGGCTGATGGGCAGAAGGAAAGATCAGAGATTGGAAGTTAAAGAAGGACTCAACGACTGTTGCTGGCTTTGAAGATGGATTGGGTCACATGATTGCCAGATACAATAGTGTAGGTCAGCTTTACATATACTCATTACTAAAAACAGTCATGTGGCCAGGCACAGTGGCTCACACCTGTGATTGCAGCACTTTGAGAGGCCGAGGCTAGAGGATTGATCACTTAAGGCCAGGAGTTCAAGACTAGCCTGAGCAACATAGCATGATTCCATCTCTATTTAAAAAAAAAAATTGAGTCATACAACTTACGATTATGTAAATTATATTATTATTTTTTTTTGAGACAGGGTCTCACTCTGTCACCCAGGCTAGAGTGTAGTGGCACAGTCATAGCTCACTACAGCCTTGAATTCCTGAGATCAAGGGATCCACCATCTTCAGCCTCCTGAGTAGCTAGGACTACAGGTGCGTGCTGCCACACCTGGCTCATTTTTATATTTTTTTGTTGAGACAGAGTCTCACTATGTTGCCCAGGCTGGTCCTGAACTCCTAAGCTCAATTAATTATCCTCCCTTGGCTTCCCAAAGTGCTGGGACTACAGGTACCAGCCACTGCACCCAGACTACATAACTTATATTAAAAGCAAACTTAATACTCTATTAATACTCTAGCCTCACTACTTCCTAGTTTACTAGCAATTTACCCCATCTGTTGTCTACTGAGCTCTTTGTGCCTATTGAGTCTAGAGCGAGGAACACTACATGATGGAGGCTGCCACGCAGCTCTTTCCTAAGCAGGCTGGTAGCTTACCTTCAGCCATAGTGGCAGTGTTCACACCACGGAGTTTGGCAATAGATATTCTAAATCAGACATGAGGGCTGGGCACGGTGGCTCACGCCTGTAATCCCAGCTACTCAGGAGGCTGAGGCAGGAGAATCACTTGAACCTGGGAGGCGGAGGTTATGGTGAGCTGAGATCACACCACTGCACTCCGGCCTGGGTGACAGACAGAGACTCCATCTCAAAAAAAATTCAAATCAAATCAAATCACTCAGTTAGGTATGAGCAAGACTCTCTGATGTCCATACCTGCTGTGAGGGTCCACTGAGGGCTGTGGAATACTGCGTCATCCCCCTTCCTGGGATGGTCTTATCAGACCACCGTGCTACTGTTTTTGTTTTCCTTTTGTTGTTTTTTTTTTTTAGACAAGATCTCACTCTGCTGCCCAGGCTGGAGTCCAGTGGCACAATCCCAGCTTGCTGCAACCTCTGCCTCCTGGGCTCAAGAGATTCTCCTGCCTCCCGAGTAGCTGGGACTACAGGCATGTTTCACCATGCCTGGCTAATTTATTTTTTATTTTTTGTAGAGATGGGGTCTCACTATATTGCCCAGGCTGGTCTTGAACTCCTGGGCTCAAGCGATCCTCCCACCTCAGTCTCCCAAAGCGCTGCGATTACAAGGCATGAGCCATCATGCCTGGCCTGTGCTACGGTTCTGCTCCGAGCTCCCCTCAATGTGCATTCCCCAGCCCCACCTCCAGATGTACCCCTCTAAACACAGCCCTTGAGGGTCTGCTGTGTCCACAGGATGAAGTCCAGACCCCCGAAGCGTCCCACTCCCACAGCTGATGCCCCTGGCTGCTGGGTCGCCCACCACCCTGTGAACTCCTCACTAGGCTGCAGAGCCCTGGGCACCTTCTGAGCCCCCGAAAGCTCTGAAACGCCTGTGCCTGGCCAGCTCCCCTCTCTCAACTCACTGTCCTTCTTTCAGCCTCCAAGACCCTGCTGCAACTGTGCCTACGTAGCCTCCACGACAGCACACGAAGAACGAGGGTTCTTCAGGATTGGGGCTCCCTGCCAGGCCTGGTCAAAGTCCCTGGTCTCTGGCAAACCCACTGCTGCCACAGAACAGCCTGGGTGTCTCCGCCGAAAAGTCTGAAGGACAAGCTTCTGCTCAGCCTCTACCGCAAGGCATAAGTCCGCTCCAGCCACCTGGGAAGGACCAGCGGGCTAAAAGGCCACTACGTAAAGGGAACAAGTGCCAAGCACACAGGGGAGCCAGGGTGGGAAAAGCCGCGAGGCCTGCAGCCAGGGGGCGGGAAGAGGGCGGCTGGGCCTTGCACCCTCATCTGTGCCACGTATTGGGGCTCCCCCACCTGCCGGAGTGTGCCCCGTCTCCTGCCAGGAAAGAAAGCCAGTCAGATGGCTACACTCTGCCCTGGGGGGTCAAAATAATCCCAGCAGTCTA